TACCTGAGCAGGTAGAGGTCCTCCTGTGAAAAACACATATTTCCAAAAGTCTGTTTATTATGAGAAAAACGTGCTCCATATTTATCGTGGTAATGAGGAACTTTTAAAGAATGTTTTTCCTTTTGTGAATAATTCATTGACCTTAAGGAGGATTTTTTTTCTAAATCCACAAATGAACCATCCTCAAATATGGAGATACATGTTTTTCACAGGACTCATGAATATGAAAGGTGGCGTAAAGAACAAACAGGAAACAGTTTAATCTGAAGTAAATATTTATTATTGGAAACTTGACTCAGTATATGTGATTTTCATATATGCTTAACACAAACGTCAGTTCAGCTGCACTAAACACTGACTTTATTATTAATCATAAATTATTTATAATAATCAGAAACAGATAATTTCATTTATTTCCTTGAACTTTCAGAGTCTCCTCCGCTGCGTCTCACTTCCTTCAGAGGACGTCTGTGGGACGCACTGGGACCAGTACGATCAGAGTTACTGGTTGGTCCTCAGAGGACAGTTCACAAAAAAGAAACCAAACAGAAAATGTTTTGTCGACTCTTGTGGAGGTCAAAGGTCGACTGTTCACATTCGTGGACAAAGTGCTGCACAGAGGGAGGAAGAGGAAGAGGAGGAGGGAAACTTCTTCTTCTACAGTTTCAGTGTTTACCAGACAGGAAATAAAAATATCACAACTGACCTCCGATCAGTTTACACAGGGTTATAGATCCAATACAGACAGCAGTGAGACGACGCCATCATCATCATCATCATCATCATCATCATCATCATCATCATCATTTTCTGTACAACAGCATGAAAAAAAATCCTCAAACAGGAAGTTGAATCAGTGCTTTACATCCAAAACAAATCAAATAAATAAAAAAAATAAATAAATAAAAACAAATTTTATGACATCACAGCCTGATGTCACATTATGACATCATAGTAAAAGCGCAGGGTGAGCTGCACGAACACGGATCAACTTTAACATGCTGATTGAAACATTTTAATATAAAATCTACTGTTAAACTCTGGATTCATTAAATTCAGTCTTAAATCAACATGTTGACTCTACGTGGAAAACATTTAATACATTAAATGTGACGTGAATATATTCATGTGCCAAAGACGATGTACGCTAAAGTTTTCTGACTGTAAAACAAAGATGTCTCCTGCTGTGGTGTTAGTTCATAATTAGCTAACGACAGTTGTTACAATAATATTCGTCACTAGAAACTAAAATAATGAACCAACAGACTTCACGTCGAGGCCTCGGGATGATGTGAGGCTGCAGATGTTGCTGCACGGGTAGAATTCCAGCTAAGTTAGCTTGTTAGCATTAGCATCTGGTTGTCATGGGAACAGCTGTTTGGGCGACCTCGGGCTCACCTGGTGGAGTGTGCGCCCCCTACAGGCTGAGTCCTTACAGTGGCCTTTGCTGCTCGTCACCACGCAGTTTGAGGAAAACCTGCTGTGGTTTGTTTCGAGGGGAAAAATCAATTCAGCAAAGTATCTTAATATTTCTGTGAGGCAGAATCGTATCGTCACACTGTGCCAAGTATCGATTTGTTCTTTGTGGACAAAAAGGTAATAAATCACAACATAATAATATCATGTTGATCCTCTGGTGAGTCACAGCCGCTTGGCTCCAGCTGTGAAGCAACTCTTCAGGTTCTGATCCAGTTTAGTTTCAGAACCAGAGGAGAACAGAACCGGCTCCATGTGGGCAGAATAAAGAGGGAAACATGTTCCCAAAGCAGTGACAGCATGAATAAGAACATGACAATATATATATGCCTCTGCTGTAAATCACAAACACAGTGAAGTGAGTATTCAGTGTGAACGTGAAGCAGCTGTGTGCTTCATGTTCCTGGGTGGAGGTCAGGTCATTGAACTCTCCAGGTTTGACTGTGAAATCAAAAACTGACGTGTCTTATAATAAACACAGTCCATAATAATAATCCAATATAATTCTGTATTTAATAACTACTGTTATTGAGTGAGTGAATCCAGGTTTAAAGTGACGGCCGGCAGGTGCAGCTCACCTTTCTCTGACACATGAAACGAGCCGAGCGTCACTGAGAACAGAGTTTGTCTCCAGGACCCGCTGTGATCATTTACAACCACAGACCTTCAAACTTAGATCAATATTTGTTTTCCAGTAAATGTCGATGGCTCAGTCAGACCTTCACCTGAGGAGACCTGCTGAGTTTACCTCAGGTCAGAGAGCCACTTCAGGTCAAACTCAGTCAGTCTGAAATGAAAGCGTCTCTCCTGAGAATCAGCCTGCAGAGACGTGACTATGAGCACGCAGAGGAGAGCGCTCCAACAAACTGAAGAGACGTCTCCAGAGACACAGAGAGCTCTGGGGAGTTTGACTGCAGCCGGGAAATATAATCTGATCTGAGAGCTGCACAGATGATTAAATGTGCCACGCTCATCTCAAAGGAAACAACACATTAAACTCAAACATCATTTCATTTCAAACTAAAAGTCCTCAGCTGGCATCACCCTTATTCACTGTCTAATTACTGTAAAGTTTGAATCTATCATTCATTTATGGGAAAAAAAAACTTTCTCTATGACACTTTCTAATGCTGCTTTTAATGTGAAATCCACAGGAAGTGATTTATGTTAAACAGCGCTACTGTAAATATTACAAACTATTTTATTTAACTTGATTAGTGGAGACAAAGAAGAAAAACTTGTATTTTAATTAAAAGTAAAATTTGAATGTTCTTTGAAAAATAATCCTTAACACTTTCTTATTGATTATCTTAAAGATAAGATAAAATATTAAGACATGTTTTTTTAGCCCTTATAAATTAAACCTCATCTTAATTAAAACTGAAATAATTCGTTGATACATTTTTAGTTTATTAACAGAAATTCTGCAAAAATTATTTTGTAAACAGACGTATTTCTGAACTGTGAAGAGAAACTGTTTCTTTGAACTTAGCGAGTGTTTGGGCTGCTGACTGATGACTTTAGCATTAGCATTAGCATTAGTGCTGGTTTTTAATTTTCGTAATACTAAACATAAGACTGACACATCTGTTGCTAATGCTAACGTACCAAATAAGGCTAACAGGCTAGTGTCTGTATAAACTTATTAGCTGTATTATTAGACACCAGCCTGTTAGCCTTATCTGGTTCTTTGGTCACAGGTTTATACACTAGCTTAGACTCATCTGGTTCACAGGATTAGCATTAAACATGAGGGTCTTTTTTAATGTTTTTAAGTGCTGTTATCTCTGGAAAGACACAACTGCAGCTAGCTTTAGCTGGTACATTAGCATTAGCTCATGTTCAGCAATCAAACTGCCATTTAGAGCTTCAACTAGCTTGTTAGCTTTTAGCTGCTATGTGAGCACTGTTAGCCAGTTGGTTTCAAGTCATATTCATGTCAAACAAATGGCTAGCTTGTTAGCATTAGCTGCTATATGAGCATTAGCTACACTGATCTTCAGTTTGTCTTTTTTCGTTACAGTCTGTTCATAAACTGTCAATCATCCAGTGATGGCGATGAACCTTTGATAATGAACAAGCTTTAACAAACACAACTGTGATGTCTCAGGTCTCTGCAGGATCATTTTCATACAAAGAGAAGCTGAATTATTTCTGCACACTTACACTCTACATATTAGTTACAGTATTATTAATATATCTTAAATATTTGATTGTAATTGTTCTGTTTATGCTCTTGACTTCTGCAGCAGTTTAATTTCTATTTCCTCTTTAATATGTCTCAGCCTGCTGCACCAGACACCACTCACAGCTCCTCATATGTATTTATATATTTATATATCTGGCAGTAAAAGTCTGTTGTTCTTTAACATGTGGTCGGTGTTCCTGAAGACGACTCAGTCTGAGGTTCTCTTGTTCTCAGCGACGCTCTCAGCTCTGGTTCGTCATATGTTACACACACACACACACACACACACACACACACGCACGCACGCATACGTGTGTGTTTTTACACAACAACCTTATTAATATGAAAACCTTAAAGAGACGGCAGCTACATCGCTTCTGCAGCGTGAAAACCTCCTAACTCCAGCGGGCCTGTGTGTGCAGGCCTGAGAGGAGTTAGGAGGTTTTCACAGGACATCAGTTTCTGTTATTGGCAGATGGGCTGTGGAGGTAGACAGAGACTGACATCATCAGCAGAGACACAGTGGAGGTGGAGCAGTGACTACATGTCCCATCATGCCCTGGGGCTGTCAGGGGGACGGTGGGCGGAGCCTCTGGTTCAGGGAGGGTTTTGTTAACACTTGATTCTGATCATCGTAAACAGGACAGATCAATACTGATCGATCAGCCAAAAACAAAACTGTAAATTAATTGAAATATTTCTGTGATGACGGATCTGAAACTTTAAACAACCACCGTGTGATAAAGCAATAAATATACTGTGAAAAAAAAAAAATATAAAAATCATTAAACCAAATGTATTTCTGAAATTAATAAAATATTGTTTCCTCTTCCCACCAAAATAAATGTGTCATTTCAGAACTACAAAATAAAAGTATGATAAAATTAAGAAGTTTTAAAGTGATGATATTTCAGGCGTCTGATTCTGATGTTGAGCTGATTGTAATTTCTCCATAAACACACAGCTGTGACCTCGTTACACTTTTATTATGCGACAGTTCACTGCTGGTTTAAAGTCTCAGGTTTAGTTGTGAATTCTGATTTCCTGGTCGTTGTGGATAAGTGTTTGAGAGACGGACAGGTCGGAGGAGGAAGAACAGAAAGAAAGAAGCAGCACTGAACTTGATGAAGAGCTGGAAAAGTCAACAAACGTTAAAAAGCCTTTGTGTTCAACTCGCTTCACGGCAACCATGTGGCTTTTGCGAGAGCACGTGACGTACAAACATATGTGTTTTTTTTGTTACTTTATTCTTTTGAACGTTAGGAACAAAACCTGTTACACCGCCATCTTGGAATGATTTGGTTCTTTCTGACATTTATTATATATTCTTACTCTGAGACAACTTACTGATATCAACATGGTGTTTATAGTTATTTTACGTTTTGGGACTTTTTTATTTAGAAAACAGAAACGTTCTGTCTCCAAAATCAAATTCTAACAAACTGTAAAACTCAAATTAAACGTGTGTGCTCACACATTTAGGTTCTTCAGATGTCTAAAGCAGGTCGCTGGCTCCTCAGATTATGTGTCTGCTCCTGGATTATCCTGCAAGTTATTCATATTCCTTCACTCTGTAACTGTCGTCAGACCAAAAGAGTTTAAAATAAAAATTAATCTGACAAACAAAACCCGCTGACGCCGTCATGGTTGAGGTGTCACTGGATCATCTCTTATTCATTTCTAAAATAACAAAAGAAACGAAACACAAACAGTTCCTTTGTTTTAAACCAAAAATGAAAAAAGGACATTTTTTGTGATAAGAATAAAAAACAAACAAAAACCTGAGTACACCAAATTAAAACAACGGTCTCCTGTCTGCAGGCTCCTGTTTCCTCCTGATATGAAGAACTAAAGAACTGTGTTTGAGTTACAGATTACACACCTGACACCTGGGGACGGATCAGTACCAAGAGTTTACTGCTCATTAGTTTTAAACCATAAACTGAGAGTTGTGACAGAGCGTATGTGTCTGTGTGTGTGTGTGTGTGTGTGCGTGCGTGTGAGTGTGTGTGTGTGTGAGTGTGTGTGTGTGTGCGTGTGTGTGTGTGTGTGAGTGTGAGTGTGTGTGTGTGAGGCTTAGTCTGGTGCTTCTCCTGTGTGAGATGAGTTATAATGAACTCTTCTCACATTAAGACATTTTTTTTGTATCACAAGTTTTCTGAAATGAATGTTTAAATTTACAAATAAGTGATTATATAATTAAACATGTGGTGATTTGCATGAATTTTCAAACAGATAGCTGAACTAAAATAAACCTGAGTGTGTGTTGAACTGTTTCTTTGTACGAGGCCAAAAAACCTACGGAAGCAATAAGAGCCCAAACTCATTTTCTTCTGAGTGTCTTCAGTCACTAACGTTTTGTATGTTTTCCTACGAAAAGCAACGCACTGAAATTCATACATGTCCCGTGTTTCCCTTCCTAACCCTGACCTATCGTAACTTCATGTTATTTACGTGACTGTACGTTGGGACGTAACGTCATTCGTTGAGCACAAACTCGCAGGATATCACATGACCTGCTCTACGTGTTTCAGCTGAAGCGTCTCACCTTCATCTCTCAGGATGTCATGAACGCTGAGGTTCAGGTGGGCGACAGAACACCTGTCACACACGTTCATGAGTCGAAGGTTCGTTTAACAGGAAGTAAACGCAGACATGTCAGAAATATCTGAATCAGCTGACTGTCGCTGATGAAAATAAATCTGATCTGTGATCAATACGTTGTTTTACAGCTGTGTGTTTATTTCATATAGAAAGTGTTTTATAAAAGCTTCAACTGGTTCACACTGAAACTGAAACTGTGACGAGAGCAATCAGCTGATTGACTTGTTTTCATGTCAAACAGAGAATTTCAACATGTTTCTGACATCAGTGTGAAAACAGATCAACTCTGCAGTCAGGAAATATTATTATTATTATTATTATTATTATTATTATTATTATTAGTTTTGTCACATTGAGATGATGAAGTGTGAAGACCTTCTCGTTCTGTGTGCATCTGAAACATCTCTCAGGACTTTATATTAAATCATAAAATCATAAATGTAGGTTTTTAAAAGTTTGAAAATAATGAAAATAATTTCTTAAATATTTAAAGGTGGGATCATTTCCTTTGTAATAATGTTTATTATTGATGAGTTGAACTTTAACCTCTCTGTTCAGCATTTATAAGCAGTATAACAGTTAATAAACAGCTTATAACACAGCAGATATAAAGACTTCAGATCAGATGAGTCATATCTCTACAGCTGCTCCTCATCATCTTCATCACTTTGTTTATGAGGGTGAAGAATGTTTATAAATAAACACCTCATAAATAAAAACAATAAACAACAAAAAGTCGTCATATCTGCAGAAATCATTGTGTAATGATCTGTTTATTAACTCTTTATATACGTCTGATAAATGCTGACTGTTGGTTCAAACAAAGTTTCCTCCTGACTCACTGAACCAGGACTTCATTACCCATGAGCCTCAGCACTGACAGCTCCCCGCCGTCTGGCTCAGTGACGCAGGACGCGTTAAAGAAAACGCTTCCTGTCCCAGAGGCTCCGCCCACCCACCACGCTCTGAACCGTGATCTGGTCCCCGATCGACCGACGGGTTCCCCGATCGATCAACAAGTTCCTGATCAATCAATAGGTTCCCGATCGATCGGCAGGTGTGTTTGCGGGCTGGAGCTCGAGTTTCCGGCGAGAATCGGAGGATAGATGGGTCGGCGTGACGGACAGGAAACAGGAAACAGGAAACAGGAAACTGTACAACATCAAAGACATCAACCAAAATAAAACCTATCAGAGACAGTTCTTTCAAAATAAAAGACCCTCTGGGTGGATGAGGCCGACGGCTACAAGCAGAGCAAGGCGAGTGTGTGTGTGTGTGTGTGTGTGTGTGTGTGTGTGTGTGTGTGTGTGGAGGGTTGAGATGACAGATGGTGTGTGTGTATGTGTGTGTGTGTTTGCACAGTATGATGCTGTCCAAAAGTCCTGATGTCATCATATTCTACTTCCTGTCTCAGAGGACGCTCAGTCTGTCCATCTGTGTGTTTCATGTGTTTATATCATATGACGTGTGTGTGTTTGTCCAGAGGGCCTGTGTGTGTGTGTGTGTGTGTGTGTGTGTGTGTGTGTGTGTGTGGCTCAGCAGCAGCAGTGTAGCTCTCTCTGGGTCGCTCTCAGACCACCGTGCTGACGGAGGGATCTGATAGGTTGAGCTGTCCGGTGATGTCAGTCGGGTACGGCTGCAGAGAGAGGGACACACAGAAAGAGAGAGAAGAGAGGAAACACACACATTAATTCAACACACACACACACACACAGCTCTATTATTCACACACACACACACACACACACACACAGAGTGAAGCCGACCTCTGAGCCAAGATGGCCGACGTCTGATTCGACCTGATTTCACAGTTTCTCTGAAAATGTTTTATTTTATTAATTTATTATTTCATCACATTTTTTTTTCTTGAAACAGGCATGTTTATTTATTTATATATTATTTATTTATTCATTTATTTGTGTTTTTATTTATGAATTTATCTATTCATTGATTTATTTACTGATGTATTCGTGTGAATGTTTACATGTGAAACTAATGAGCAGGGTGGATGAAAGAAAGAAATAAAATAAATATTATAAGATATTAATAAAATTCACACACATGTTTACGCTCTCTGTGACTGAGGGTCTGTGTCCACATTACGTCTTTTCTCTCAGCGCCAGCGTCTTTGTTCAGTCGTTCCCACTGAGGAGAGTTTGTCTGTGGCGTGTACAGAAGGAACGCCACGCTCAGGGCCTTTTTCAGAGTTCACCTTTTTTTGTGCAGCTGCTCTGAGCACTTCTAGTTTAAAATCTTGGCACTGGTGACATCACTACTGCGGCTTTAGCTACCGTCCGTCCTGAGATGTTACGACATATTCTTGTAGAATGGTTTGGATGACATCCTAAGAATTTGTGCCCCACGAATAACGTCCTGAACGTACAGCTACGTAATTAACGTAAAGTTACTGAGGTTAGGAAAAGACACGCGGTGAGGACGACCCGTAAAATGGACTGCTTCCTTGTTTACTGCCGTCAGCTCATTGGTCACATGATCACAGCCTTTCAAAATACGTGGGATACGTACGAATTTGTGTGCATCGCTTTTCGTAGGAAAACATATGACACATTTATGAGAACAGCCTGAACATTGTGACGTGCTGCTGTTTGTGTTGTTTTGCTCTCCGTAACTTAACAGCTAAATGTTGTTATTCTATGTGAAGATGATGTCGGTATGAGACAGATGGAAGACCAATTAAAACCAACGACAAAACATCATCATCTCACGTCAGTATTTCACGTCGAACTGAAGTTGGCGTTAGACATCAGTGGTTGCTACGTGCTTTTGTTGCACGAGGAAATAAACGTAAGTAAGAGTTGTTTTACTGACGCAAGTTTATTCTGAAAAAGACTGTATGCATCTAATGGAGACGTATTGTTTCAGACACATTACGATGTAGCCTACAGGACACGCCCCCAACAAACCACGCCCACTATGAGTACAAGACAAACTCACCAACGCCACGGCCCTCTGAGCCCTGACACACTGTGACACTGTGGTGAATAAATGAGACTGAATGTAACTCAAAATACACAAAGACGCCTGCACTCTGCACTGATTTCAGGTAAATAGGCAATGACTTGGCGCTGGTTATGGTTGCTTAGCAACCTCAGATGCAGCCTGCCGCCGTGCTCTTGAAAGTTGTCACTGAGCAGCACCCAGCGTCCGTCCCTGTGTTTCCCAGGCGGTTAAAGACACAGCATGTTTACTGGCCTCAATTAACACTCTGATCATGTAGCGTCACGTTAGCTACCTAGCTAACGTCAGTATTGTTATTGTCATAGAAACGAAACCCATGAGTAGCGCGTCATTAAAAAAATGCTGTGATTGCTTGTTATGAGGTGCTGAGATGAAGCGCAGCGCGGCGCCCTGCCGCCATGTGGACACAGAGCCTGAGACACTGATGTTACATCCATCGTTAATGTCGTGTGAAGCACCAGTGACGTCGCTGTGACCAGGACACGCTGGAAGAAGAGATTTTTCTGGTTAAATAAAATGTGATCTGCCACATGAGATGTCTGTCTGTCTGAGCAGCATCAGGACGGACGGACGGACTGACTGAGGGAGGAGCAGTTTCATGTTGGTTCATGTGAGTGAGACGTCTTCAGTCTCTGTTCTGTCGGTGATGTGTCTTTGTTTGCTGCAGCTCTGTTGAACTTGTATTGATATTCTGTTGGTTCCCATGGAAACAGATGTGGGAATAATTGAGCAGCATGTGGAGAACCCTATGTTAATGTACAGTCTCTGAGCTGCAGAGGTTTTATAATCGTGTCTGGATGGAAACCATGTTGAAGAGCTCGTGCAGCTGAAGCAGCTCTGTCCTGACCAAGCATGACTCATTTAGTGTTAGTGCACATTTGCTGGACCGGATGTTGAATCTCTGCTTTGAGTTATTTTCTAAAAGACTTTTTAACCAAACTTCATGAACAAATGTTTCAGTTTCAGTCCTGTGAGGATCGTTCTGACTGATGATGACATCACCTCTGTGATACCGTGACATTTTCTGAGACGTTACCGTACCATGAAACTCTCGCCCTGTTGCAGCGCTCCACACTGACTGTGGGTCAGTGCATCATACAGCCTCGCTCCCAAAACTCTGAACTGTTCCTTTAACTTCAGTTTCCATCCAGAGTCATCCAGCCTGATGTGACAGGTCAGTGCTGCTGCTGGTTTTATGGGAGCTTTTTATTTTTGCAGCTGCCGAGCAGCAGCAGCTCATCCTGACTGTATTCAGCTGTTGTTAGTGTTTACCTGTGTTTACCTGTGTTTACCTGTGTTTACCTGTTTGCTGTTGAGCTGTTCAGATAAGAAAACAACAACAAACTAATCCCTGATAACATCCTGTAAACAGCAGAGTCAGATCTCAGCAGGATGAGTCGTCCTGTGAGAGACCAAACCCTGAGCTCACTAACTGAACCTCAACAGAGGAGACACTGCACATTAGCCCTGGGCGGAGGGATACGCTGTTGTTCATCAGGAAATAGTTCCAGCATGGTTAAACATTTGTGTTTGTGTATGGAGGAACTTGATATTTAATCAGTCGCAGCTTCAGTTTGTTAAAGTCAGCTGATCGATGATAATCTCAGAAACATTTCAAAGATTAAACTTTTCTTGACACCAATAATCTGGAAACTGTTTTTATTTTAGAACGACTCCTCTAAACTCCTGTAACTCTGCTCTCTCTGGCATCAGTGAAAACTCCTCTCCTGTCTAAACTCTGCTGCAGGGTTCTGACTCAGGTTCACAAACACTGATCCTGACTTCCTGTTGTGTTTAGAACAGATTCTGACGTATAACTGACACCTGAAGCTCAGACCAAAGATTGTTGACGACATCAAACCGTTTCAGAACGTCACAGAGGAAAGTGTCAGTGGTGTGAACTGGCCGGTCTGAGCTCGATTCAAGCCGGCTGATGATGTCACCTGACACTTGGCTGGTCAAATGGCCGGCGGCTGGTTTTAAAGCACGTCACCTGTTTCAACAGCCAATCAGCTGTTAATGCCGTTCAGTGCAGTGTTGAAGGATCGTCTCTGTCAGCAGCTCTCTCCCTCTGTCATGTTAGCACGAGCTAACACAGCACAATGTCATCTCGTCACGACTCGTCATATTTTGCTTCTTGGACAGAAACCTCACAGCAGCGGTTAACATCCATGTTAGCAGTGTGATGCTAACAGTTAGCCCTGTCACTGTGTGTGTGACCCTGTCCCAGGTGCAGCTGCAGACTCATGATGAACAGCAGCCACAAAGAGGTGGCGCTATAGAGTCCTGTCTTTATGCCCCCTTTGTGTTTTACACAGAACCAAAGCATCATTTCACTCCAGTGTGTGATGTCAGACAGCATGATGACATCACAGAGTCAAAAGAGGCATGACATGTAACACAACAGTGTTGGCCTCTAGTGTGACATATAACATACGTGTCAGCAGCTCTTTATAAACAATAACAATGACATCACATGTCATTGATGAGCTAGCTGCTAACTGCTAACAGCTGCTGTTATTCTTTCAGTTTGCTGCTAACTGCTAACAGCTGCTGTTATTCTTCTTTGAGCTAGCTGCTAACTGCTAACAGCTGCTTAAATCTCCTACACCTGTCCCGTCCTGCCAGCTGTTCTGTTTATACAGACACCATTTCAGCGCTGTTACGACCCTCCTGTGGTGGATTACAGGTGAGACGACTGTCCCTGCATTCCTCAGTCGTACCATATATACAGAACAACGAGGTGGAATAACGGTGCGATATATCTGCCCTGAACAGGAAGTGTAAAAGGCGCTACAGAGACAGAGAGCAGCTGGTTGACAATGTTAAGAGATCTTACCTGATCTAAAAAGTTAAATTTGCTGTAAAGTTGAAGGTGACTGGACGAAATTTCGAGGTTGTACAGAATTCATAGGGATTGGCTGAATTTACAGGAAGTGTTGTAATGACAACGTCCTGGAGGGGCTGAGTGTCGCCTTACATCCCCTCAGATGTGTCGCTCCTTATCGTCCACACAGCTGTTAGACTTTGGGATCAGGGACACAAACCTTGTCTCGTCTTTTGAATCACTTTGTTAAAAAAAATTTTTTTTGAATTTGCTTTTCAGTGATTTTACTGTTTTTTTTTAAAAAAACATTTTGTTGTGAATTCTTCACGTTATAGACATTTTAGTTCAGAGGCTCTTATTCTGGAGTCATACTTTTAAGTTAGAGACTCTTATTTTGAAATCTTAAATCTTTTGTTTTTATGTGTGTCTTACTCTTTCGGCGGTGCAATCATCTCGGGTGCTGAGGTCACTGATGATGTCACTTTAACGTTGCTGCTGTTTACATGGTGAAATTAATTAAATTATTTCTCTGTAGTTTGTGTTTGTTTGTTTGTTTGTTTGTTGCAGTTATGAAGCTGTTTAAGTATCAGCTTCATGTTGAGCTGACTGTCTGCATTATTATGACTGTGAATCTGCTGTTTGTGTTTTCTGTGTGACGTCACTGTCCCAGTTAAGTTAATTTTGGTTATTGGTAACTAACCAATGATAATAATAATATAAATAATAATAATAATAATAATAACTCAGTCGTGTATATTTGTATGTTTCTGATTCGTTTCTACGCTGCAGCCTGTAAAATTTCTCATTCTGCCAGTACAGAGTCTGATGAGTCTGATGACTGTTTGTTCTCTGACCAGAACTCTGTACTGGTCGATATCCCAGATTCACCAGTTTAAAGGGTCGTTCCCAAAGTTTTTACTTTATCTTATCATGTTTCTACCGACACGTTCTCATCCCAACTCGTCACACACCGCCGCTCTGTTAGTGGACCGACATATAACACGTTAGATTTCCTCTTGTGTCAGTTTCAGACGTTACACTCATCACGTGCACTTTGTCTTTTCAAAATAAACTTCCTTTTTCACAGTAAATGTCCAGTTTCTGCTCATTAGATGCAAACAGTGGTGGTCAGATTTAGAAACAAACATCAAGTCTTAAAATTCAAGGCTCAAGGTGTCTTTATTTATTTATTTATTTACCTGAGAGTAAACGTGTTGTGCAAACTCACACAGGAAACAAACAGATGACAGTCTGGTCTTTGTTTGACCCGTCCACCTCAGTACACAGACTTTCTCCCTCTTTATATAACAGCAGTTGACTGGTGCGTATCAAACCGCTGTGACAGATGCCTCGGTCTGTGTCAGGCGCTGACATCACTGACATGGAGGCGGAGTTTGTCGAGTTTGGAGTGAGAACGAGCTGTTTGACTGTGGCCTGGTGTCTGAATTCATTTCATTCTGTTTTTTATTGTGAAGCACTTTGAAAGAGAGATAAGGTTTAAATAAAGTTTATTGTTATTATCAGCTGACTGATTGTTGGAGCAGAGGTGATTCTTTATGTCTCAGTAAACTGGATGTTTTTGGGTTGTCGGTCACTCTGGACTCTTTTCACTGTTGCCATGAATAATTGAGTGGAGGTCAGCTGACAGCTGATTGGTTTCTGTGCTGGGCTGAACAGGAAGTGTGCGTTCAGTCTAAAGGTCGGTCGTGCTTGCAGAGGAGGACAGAGGCAGTGTGTGTGTAGTACAGCATGTAGTCTGGACACCATTCAAATCCACTGAGAGAGAAAAACACTCATATAGAAAATAAAGAGAGATGAGCACAAAGAGAAATGAGTTAGACCCCCCCCCCCCCAACCCTGAGTGGTCACACAGCAGACTGTGTGCTGCTGCTGAACACTCTGACTGAGCTGCAACACAAATCTGTCTCCATGTTGACTACCAGCTGCCTGAGAAAAGACTCTTTGGACTCCCTGCTCCATTCAGACTCCCTTCACATTAAACCAACAGAGTGTCTGCAGGCAGAGGGGATGCAAAACAGTCGACAGCTGTGGAGTTCAAACACAAACACACAAGCTTGGTCACATTTCAGATCTCAGAGCTGCACTCTTACAAAAGACGTCATCACAGTCAAAGTGTCTCTGATTGAGGCCCAACAGCTTTTCTAAGAGTGCACGAGAAACTCTGAGTTTGAAGAAACTAAAATCACAAACAAGCACAAGTTCTTCAAAGTGAAGCTGAAAAGAAGAAAGTGAAGCCAGAAGCATCGACAGTGACGAGCTCGACTCCGGCAGAGACTCCACTGCTGAAACAAGAGTCGTTTATTAGCCGCCGTTTAGGCCCAGAGGCATCATGGGCTCTGACAGCTTTAATTCACACGGCTCCTAAAACCTTCAGGATGCTGAAAACGAGACGAGTTAGAGGAGAGGAATGAGTCTCTGCTGGACGACCTGCGAGGACGAGACAAGAATCAAAGACGCTTTGTTTCAGCGACAGTGACGGTGAGATGAAGGGACAGAGAGACGACAGGAGAGGAAGGACGAGAGGAAAAAGACAAGACCGAGACAAACAACAAGACACAAACAGAGACAGGACGAAGGACACAAACAGAGACAGGATGAAGGACACAAACAGAGACAGGACGAAGGACACAAACAGAAAGTAGAGACCACACAGTCTGACCCTCTTCACTTCTCCTTTGCAAGAGGACGACTCGCAGTGAAAAATAAAACCCTGACGGCAACAACAGGAACCCTGTCTGTCCATCTGTCTGTCCATCTGTCTGTCTGTCTGTCTCACTGTCTGTCTGTCTGTCTGTCTGTCTCACTGTCTGTCTGTCTGTCTGTCTGTCTGTCTCACTGTCTGTCTGTCTGTCTGTCTGTGGGACAGATGAGCTGATGGAGGCGAGAAGATAAAGAGAGCTGACTG